TAACTTCATAAGAAACTGCCAGAAAATTTTTTCAAAATGGCTGTACCTTTGTTCCTGGAAAACCAGTCTGCTGGCCTCAATAGCAATTTACCATTCATAAATAACAAAAACAGAGTTTTGAGGAAAAGGAATTAGGGTTTATTACTCATCAGATGAAGAGGAGGACAGGGAGAGTCAACTTCTCACAGCTCTGTTGTCCCACTTCTGAGAGAAAATGTTCACCTTTTAAAGGAGAGTTCAGGGGCTTAGCTTGACCACGTGCCTAGATGCATGCTCACCATGGCTGCTGGCCCTGTTTCTCCAGGTGTGTGGCACCACTTCTCTAAAGCTGTCTTGGCTGGTAGGTTTACTTCTCTGGTAGTCAATAAGATATAAGGGGTAAGAACTGCCTGGTCTAATTGAAGAGCAAAGGGAGTTAACTTTGGATTCTCAGCATGTAGACAAAGAGGGGGAAAACATTAGTGTAATCAATAGAGTAAACTGGCCAGTGAGCAAACTGATTATACAAAAAGTGTTTCCCTTTTGTAGTCCCAGTTACACCTGTTTGTATTTGTACCAGCAAAGTATGACCCTGGTGGTGGTGTGTCAGTTGTATAGCCCTGTGTGCAGGGCATATGTTGAGTAGTGGCTCCAGGGCTTGTTGGGAAGGAGGTTTGAATGGTGAGGGTTGTTTTATTATCTTGAGGTTATCTGCCTCACACCATCCCTTGTGACTGCCTGACCCTGGGGCTTTTCTTGAGGCAGAGTAAGTAGCTCCAGTGGATCCCATTTATTGTCTCATTAACTGAATTCTGGATGCATAAGCTAAGGGCCCAGGAGCCTTGATGAGTCATAGTTGTTTCAAGTGCAGTGCTTAAAAAGTTACGGATATTGGGCAAGGCTATTTGGGATTGTCACAATGAATCTCCCCCTGTACAAGGAATATATCCTAACAAAAATGGGGGGGGAGTTAAGAGTTAAAATGTTTCCAGTAGATCCTTAAACCAATTCTTGATAGATCACGGTGTGAACTGTACGGGGTGCTCTATTCTATCCTAAGATGAATCATGTTCTAAGTTCCTCACCTGTTTGATTTTCATGGACAACTGTGATGCAATGTGGAAAGCTTAAATAGAGGGTAAATCCAAAGCTAGTATTTTACAAGTTATTTCCAGTTTCCCCAGAAATATAGTCCACACATTGCATGGGCTTTACAGTGACCATTAAGGATCCAGTATTCCTAGATAACTGGATCTTAGTCTGTGGATATTTTTTTTAAAAATCATTAAAGAGCTGGACACTGTTGGTTCACGCCTGTAATCCTAGCTCTTTGGGAGGCTGAGATTGGAAGGATCTGAGTTTGAGGACCCCATTTCCAAAATAACCAGAGCGAAAATGAACTGGGGTATGGCTCAAGTACTTGCCTGGTTGCAAGTACAAAGCCCTCAGTTCAAAACCCCAGACCCACCAAAAAAAAAAAATCATTAATGAGATCTTACTGCTCAAACTGCTTGTGGACAGAGAAACAGGTGAAACCAAGAGCAGGTGTTGAAGGCTTTCTTCTGACTGAGGTTCCTAGGGAAGAAGCTGATCCTTCATCTCCTCACAGGTATAAAGCCTGTAAGGGATTCTAGAACTCTAGAGCTCTACTTTTTTGTACCTCCAAAAGTGAGGTGTGCATGCTGCACACCTTGATATTGAGAGGTTGAGCATAATGGAAACAAAAGAATTGCAAAACAGAATTTACCTTATTATGTGGAATGCATTGATATTTTCTGTTTTATGCTATTTTATTTAAAAACAAAACAAAAAACTAAACCATTGAGTATTTAGTTAACAACCTACAGAGTAGAATCTACTACAGTCTCTCTTCTCGGTTTTATAACCAGAAAACTGGGTCCCAAAGGGAAAGTAGCTAAGGAATTGTAATCTCTCCAAGCAATTGAGTGGCAGAGAATCTGGCTCCAGTTCACTGCAGGCTAATCAACTTTCTAATTCCCCCTCACATTGGGAGTTTTCCTGTCACCAGACTTGGCTCAGGCAAAAATGGGCCTTATTTTTCCTATGTCCATAGGAAAAAGTCCTATTAACTGCCAGATTGGTGCAGTGGGGGGAGTGGTAAGGTGCACCTCATGTGTAGTAGCTAAGGAATACCTTAGGACCTGGAAGAAGTTGGAGACTGTAGGCCTTTTGATCTCTATTCCCAACCAGGAACCACACTCTACAGTGTGCTAAGGACCATTTCTTAGTTTTTCATTGGAGGTGGAATTGAAAAGAGAGATAGCAAAGATAGTTTTCTACTTAGTTGAATACATTTAAGGAATCCTGAGCAGAATTGGAATGAATTTGTATCCCTATTAGCATTGCTCTCTGATAGCAAAACAATTTTACATCTTTATGAAGATTTATGTTATGTTTTTAAAGCCTGACTCCCGAGGAGCATCTTGTACTGGACAGCTTAATAATTATGGTACCTAGCCTGTGTTTTGGTGCTGGCAGGCCTCCTCCCATGAGATGTAGCTTGCTCTGGTATTGCTTACTCAGGATGTGTTTTTAGTAGATTACTGTCTGTAGATTAGAGAAAGGGCTTGTGTGGCAGGCACCTCAGAGCTCCATCTTCTGGAGAGAATCTGAATGGCTAGAATGTTCATCCTTGCAGTCCCTGTGTGATTTGAGGACATTTCTCAGTACATGGCCTCCTGAGGACTTCTGTGGTGATGAGAATGTAGTGTCAGTGAGAAGTCAGGACCTTCGGTCTCTATTCTTTGCATATAGTAAATCTTACTGACCTCTTCCTTAAGTCCAACTGAAGGGCGGACTGCAGGAGGTTCATGTGTTCCCAAAAAGTGCTAATTAGCCAGGAGACACTTCTCCTTCCAGGAAACATCTATTTGTACCAACACCTTTGCCTCAGCAATTAAAAAAAACTAAAACCCAATTTCCAACCTGACCCATGGAACACCAGTTTCTGGGTCTCACTGCATGCCCCCACGCAGCCTTTCCCTTCTCTTCTCTACAAATAAAATCTTTCTGACCTTTGCTGCTCAAGTTCGCTTTTGCTATCTAAACAGACCAACACCCGAATATTCCTGGTATCATCTGTATCACAATTGGGGTCCACAGTTGGGATCTCTCTAAAACGAAGAGATGAACACCAACTTATACTCTTAAGAGGCTATGTAGGAAATATAAAATTGTAGTGAAAGCACTCTCATGAGATAAGCTAAATGTCTCAGTTATAATAGGAATGCTATACCAAGGCATCCAACAGTCTAGGGTTCTAGGGTTTACTTGGAAGATACAGCTTACTGGCCCTGGCCCTGGGTGTATTTCCTAATTCCCCCAAATTGTTTGCAAGAGGGAGAATAGTGTCTACCTCAATTAAAGGAACTTGAGGACAAGTAAGAAGTTTCCCTGTAATGAACCTGGTACATTGTCCTTCAATGTAAGCATGAAGACAGAGGCACATCTCCAGCAGGCCCTTCTTTGCTTCCACTGCATGCCCCCACGCAGCCTTTCCCTTCTCTTCTCTACAAATAAAATCTTTCTGACCTTTGCTGCTCAAGTTCGCTTTTGCTATCTAAGAACAGACCAACACCCGAATATTCCTGGGTATCATCTGTATCACAATTGGGGTCCACAGTTGGGATCTCTCTAAAACGAAGAGATGAACACCAACTTATACTCTTAAGAGGCTATTGTAGGAAATATAAATTTGTAGTGAAAGCACTCTCATGAGATAAGCTAAATGTCTCAGTTATAATAGGAATGCTATACCAAGGCATCCAACAGTCTAGGGTTCTAGGGTTTACTTGGAAGATACAGCTTACTGGCCCTGGCCCTGGGTGTATTTCCTAATCTCCCCCAAATTGTTTGCAAGAGGGAGAATAGTGTCTACCTCAATTAAAGGAACTTGAGGACCAAGTAAGAAGTTCCTGTAATGAACCTGGTACATTGTCCTTCAATGTAAAGCATTGAAGGACAGAGGGCACATCTCCAGCAGGCCCTTCTTTGCTTCCCTCTTCCATTTCCATGGGAGTTGTGGGACCTGGAAGAATTTGCAGTAAGATCCCTGTACAGACAATGAAGTGTAGTTCAAGCCCTCTAAGTAGTACTAGCAGAGATTGCATAAATCTATAGATTAAAGACTGAAAAGGGAACTACCTTGATGTGCCCTTAAATAGTTAACAGGGTGCACAGAGAGATGTGTTTTGCCAAGATCCAGTTGTGTAGCTCTGGATGCATAATCAGATCTAAGGCCCTATACCTGTGGTGGATGAGAGCCCTGATTGCCCCAGGAGTGTAATTTTGGTTTAAAGGTGTGCCCCAGCTTTTGGCGATTAGGATAGAATTGACAAAAATAGTTGGTGACCTAGAACACTGTGTATCTTTTTAAATGGAGTTAGCCAGCTTCAATCAGTTGTTTTTAGATACAGACGTTAATCATTAAAGCTGGGCCCAAGCTCCATTGCTAATAAGGTTAATGGGTTTGTCTTTGGCTTTGGGCAGGGGCAGTGTGTGTGGACACCTTGGGCAAGTAAATCTTACTAGATGATGTATAAGTTAGTTTTCCCTGTATTTAAATACGTTTTATAAAAATGTAATTAGTGGGGAAACTTGGGCACCATTCACCTTAAGTTTCATGATTTTAATTAGAAAATGGTAAGGTTTAATATGAGTAAATTATGTTTGAAATGTGATTTTACTTCATTGTGGCTTTGCATTTTGTCTTCTCTAGTGGCTTTGTACTGCTGTGGTGTGGGGCCCTGGTTTTTCAGAGCATTGTTCAGGCACTCCTGGAGCCCAGTCTCTACCTGTCTGCATCTGCCCTGCTCTGCCTCCCTTCCTTCTGGTGTTTGTCTTGTTGTGGGAAGAGGTGGGGCTGGAGTGGGCAGTGTGGGCGGAGCCCTAAGTGAGCTCAAGCTGTTTGTCTTTCTGCTGGAGGCAAAGGGCCAGTGGATTTAAGGCGGCTCCCAGGCTACTTCCAAACCGCATGTCATCATTGTATTTGTTTCCGGCAGTGTCCTACAGAAGCCTAGGAGTGGAGACCAAACAGACCAACACAAAGACAACAGACAGAGGACGCACTGGCCACTGGACCCCGCTGCCTCCCCTTTTTCCCTGCCGCCTGCGTCCGGAGGATGAGCCCAGCCTTCAGGGCCATGGACGTGGAGCCCCGCACCAAGGGTGTCCTGCTGGAACCCTTTGTTCACCAGGTTGGGGGGCACTCATGCGTCCTCCGCTTCAATGAGACGACCCTGTGCAAGCCCCTGGTACCAAGGGAGCATCAGTTCTACGAGACCCTCCCAGCCGAGATGCGCAAATTCACTCCCCAGTACAAAGGTGAGCCCCCAGCTGCTGGAGGGGACGCCAGGCTGGTGAGGAGATGTGAGGGATTGTGGCCATGGAAGGCCCTGGCAGCCATCCTGGGAGCCCTCACCCCTCCCACTCACTCTGTTTCCCCTCCTTCCTCCTCCTCCTCTTGGCCCTCAGCCCAGCATCTCACACCCTCAGTTTTCAAGTCCTGGTAAGATTGCTCAATTGTTTTGTTTTGTTGATTTGTTTTGAGTTTATTTTTGGTGGAAGTATAGTTGTGTTTTATGTTCAGGTGTCCCTTGATCACAGTAACCCATAGGCCCTTGTGGGGACAATCGGGGATGACTTTAGGAGGATTTTCCCCAGAATTCTTGCGGCCTGCTTTTTGTCCTCCAGGAAACCAGAAGCCCTGGTGATTAGGTAGGCTTGGGAGCAGGGTTGAGTCAGATGGAATGCAGGAGTGGGAGGACTGTACTGATTAGCTGAAGCCCTATGCTATTACGGAATGTCCCCAAAATTGCTATGTGAAGGCAACCTTTTGATTCACATATGGTGACTTTTTCTTCCTTTTTATACTGCATTTTTTAGGGAACATCAGAAGCCTACAGCATGGTGTGATCTTTCCTGGGGCAGGGGGACATTTTGTAAATCAAAGCAGAACCCATTAAAGAAATTAATTTTAAATGTGCATTATCAGTTATACAAAAGACTCTAGAACAATTTAGGTTCTTTTCGGACTGTTGAAACATTGTTTTTTAAAGACATACTGTACTGGGTGCCTCTCTGTACTCTGAAATGCATATGTGTTGTGGTGGGGGTGGGGAGTTGGAGGCCCTCACTTGGTCCTTCTCTGTTGTTTTTTCCAGGACAAAGCCAAAGTTCCCTTGTTAGCTGGCCACCCCTGTCCCCTTTTTCCCCTTGGTCACAGGGAAATGTGGTCCCCTGAATTCCCCACCCTGGCTGCTCTGCACCCAGAGTTGAGGTCTACCTCAGAAGTGTCGTCTCTCTCTGAGCACGCATTCCCCTGCAGCAAGCGAGCGGGCGGGCAGCAAGGACTGAGCAGATTGAGTGATCCTGGGGCAGAGAGGCCTGGGAGGAAAGGTGTTCAGCCAGTCGGTTGTAAGGCGCTCGTCGGCACCTGCTGAATTGCTCCCACCTGTCAGCCCCCTCCTCAAAGACTGTCTAATTACACATGGCAGGTTCTAGAGACTCAAGGGGGAGAGCTGCTTTCAAGGCCACCATGTGTCTGTGCTCCTGGCCCAACTTTATCTGCCTTGTGTTCATTTTGTTCTTTTGTGACACAAAACTGCAAAGACCAATAAAAATGTAATTGAGAAGGATAAATGGGCACCCAACCTTGTTGGGGTGCTACAGGAAGCCTTTGCTAGGGTGTCTGTGTGCTGTGTGGTTTGTTTTGTTTGCTCCTTTATTTTGCTTTGCTTGCCCAGTCTTCCCTTACCCTTGGATGCTTCTTACCCTGAGGCAAACCTGTGTTCCCCCTGTGTTCAGACTCTGCTTTAAAGCAGGCCTCCAGATTATCAGAGTTTCTGTTTAGGGCTTTAAAAATTCCCACAAGATATAAAGAGCATTGTTTTCGTGTCTCTTTTTAGGATTAGAAGAATTACATAAAAATTAATAAACATTTTCAATGATGGAAAAATGTGTCTTGTAATTCTTTGGCTCTTGCCTTGTTGAGTGCATTAGAGAGGAAGACTCTCAGCCATGTTTGCTCCCTAATTGCTTGTCTTGTATGGTGTCATTTTTTCTAGCTGTTTTGATATTTGTTAGGTTTGCAGATGAGTTTGGGGCCTCTGGCAACATAGAGACTAAGGAACAGGGTAAGAAAAAACCCAAATGTTACAATCATGTTACTTAGAAAGCATCTTCCTATGGAATTAAAAGTCCTTTCTGCTCCTCAACCCCCTTCCAGGTGTGGTATCTGTGCGCTTTGAAGAAGATGAAGACAGAAACTTGTGTTTAATAGCATATCCATTAAAAGGGGACCATGGAACTGTGGATATTGTAGATAATTCAGACTGTGAACCAAAAAATAAGCTCCTAAGGTGGACAAATAAAAAGCATCACATCCTAGAAACTGAAAAGACCCCCAAGGATTGGGTGCGCCAGCACCGGAAAGAGGAGAAAATGAAGAGGTGGGTAAAGACAGAGTAAATCTTAAAAGATGATGCATAAGTTGATTTGCCCTGTATTTAAATACATTTTATAAAAACATAATTAGCAGCAAAACTTGAGCACCATTTAAGCTTGACAATCTAAATTAGAAAATGGTAAATGGGCTCTTGACTTTTTATTTTAATCTACTTTCCTGGTATAATCCACATATGATAAATATATCCATTTGAAGTATTTAATGAATTTGGACAGGTGTATACATTGTGACCATCACGATATCAAGATACTAAACTTTCCAGAACCTTGTGCTCTTTGGAAGGGGAGGGTCTTGGTTACAGCCTGGTTTCCTGGAGTCAAGGACTCATGGTACCTTGTCACTCATTTCTCACATGGTCTGCCCAGCATCTCTTTAGCAGGCTGTGGGGTAGATCATGCCGCTTTGTGTAGACAGCTGAAGTGGTAGCTGTAAAAGAGATTCATTCTCTCTCTGCCTAGCAAGCATAAAACCCTGAGTTCAAACCCCAATACTGCAAAAAAAAAAAAAAAAAAAAATTCATTCACTCATTCCTTCCACAACTGCTTTGTGCCAGGCCACAGGCAGATGTGACAGAAACCATGCCTTTACTTCAGGTGGCTCACCAATAATGGGGGACAGAATCTGTGTGGGCAGAGCCTTCCAAGTTCTATGCTTTGGTAAGAGCTTGTGAAAGTATAAACTACAAATATGAAGTGTATATTATATGGCTAAGTAGTAGTTTAAATTATTTCTATGGAATTTTAATTCAGGTTTTCCCAGTTACCAGCATTTAGAGTTGGGAACCTGTGTGCCAGAGACCAAGGGGTAGTACTGCCTGGAAGAGGGGTGTGAAGAAGGCTTGCCTGCCTTGGGAATTGGGAAACAGAGGCTAATCTTGCATCTTAGGATATCCCTGCTGTAGAAAATAGTGGTGGGCTGGGCCATTTTTTTTTTATTTTAATCAGCTTTCCTGAGGTATAATACACATATGATAAAAGTACACCCATTTGAAGTGTTTAGGTAGATATATACATTGTGACCACTATAAGATCAAGTTACCATACTTAATCACTCCAGAAAGCTCCTTTACAATGCTTTAATACTGAATTTTGATAAAACATTGTGATTTATTGGATCCTTATCTCTTTATAGCCATAAGCTAGAAGAAGAATTTGAGTGGCTAAAGAAATCTGAAGTCTTATACTACAGTGTAGAAAAAAAGGGGAATGTAAGTTCCCAGCTTAAACACTATAACCCTTGGAGCATGAAATGTCACCAGCAACAGTTACAGAGAATGAAGGAGAATGCTAAGCATCGGAACCAATACAGTATCCTTTGTTTATAGGGCATTTCTGTCTTGAAGTAGGAAAAGAAGTAAAAGGAAGGACGGGAGAGAGAGGTGGGTGTTTGTTTTTTTGTTGATGTGTGTCGGGGTGTGTGTGACAGTGTCTGTGTGTGTTCTTGGTACTAGAGTTTGAACTCAGAGCCTTGCACTTGCCAGGCTCTACCACTTGGCCACACTCTCAGACTGTTTGTTTTTTGAGACAGCAAGGTCTGACCAGCAAGGTTGACAGCAAGGTATAGCCCAGGCTGGCTTCAAACTCTGAATCCAAGTGTTGAATTAATAGGCATATACCTATTAATTGGGATTTTTAGTCATGGTTGAATTTCCTCTACAGGTTATGCCAGGATGCCTTGTGTGATAACTGTGGGCAGATATCACCTCCCTTAGGGATAGGACTTAGCTTAGAAATGCTGGTGGTGGGAAATGGAGAGTAAAGTCTCATGAAAGGGATTTAGCTTAGGTAGACTAGATGAAGATGATTTTCAGACTCCTGCAGAAAGTTCCCAAACTACTTACCTGCAAGGGCTGAGAGGTGGGGTAGGGGCACCAACACTTCAGCTCTGGTTTATCAGTCTGGAATGTGAGCTGTGCATGAGGAAGACACTAGGGTCCTTTCTCTCCCCTTCCCACCCTTTACTATTAAGCTATTATCCAGTGGTCTTGGGATCTTTTTGTTTTGTTTTGTTTTGCAGTACTGGGAATCAAACCCAGGGCCTCTTTTTTTTTTTTTTAAATACCTTTATGGGTTGTATTCATACTTTGTTTTACTTACTTATTTTTAACTTTTATTAGGGAAAGTATGTTAAAAATAGAATAATACATTGAATCCTAAGTACTTGTCACCCAGGTTTGGCAGTTCTCCTACTTGTGTCAATTTCATGTCATAACTCTGTGCACTGGGGATCCAACTCAGGGCCTTGAGCATGCTAGGCAAGCACTCTACCACTATGCTATACCCCCAGCCCTTTGTAGACAATTTATTTTCAGCTGGACTTTTTTTTTTTTTTTTAGCGTAGTGTTTTTCATTTGTTTAATAACACTACAGTGTAGTGTTTAGTACACTGAGCCCTTTTTTAAAATTATTCATTTATTCACATGTGCATACATTGTTTGGGTCATTTCTCCCCCCTGGCCTGCTCCCCCACCCTCAGCTGGACTCTTGAAGCAAATCGAAGATACATCATTTCATCTGTATACACCCTAGCATGTGTCTCTAAAAGGGTATTTTAAAACATTTAATATCATTTTTCACTCCTTAAAAATCAGACAATAAGTCCTTAATATAAAATACTTAGTTCATGTCCACATTTTCCTAATTGTCTCAATAAGATGTTTGTATTGTTGATTTGTTTGAATTGGGATCCATGTAAGGTTCACATGTTGCCTTGAATTGAAATGTCTTAAGTCCTTAAATACCACTTCCATTTTCTTAGAAATTCATTATCAAAGGGACTGGGTCGCTGGCAGAGTGGCTCATGTGGTACAGTGCCTGCCTAGCAAGGATGAGTTCAAACCACAGTACGACCAAGCACGCGCACGCGCACACACACACACACACACACACACACATTCACATTCTCTCTCTCTCTCTTTTTTCTGTCTTCTAGCTTTTCCCATGATCTAGATTTTTCTGATTATGTCTTGGGTGTCTTTTACATGCTTCTGTCTCTCCTGTTTTCCAATAAATTAATAACTAGAGCTAAAGACTTGATCAGATTCAGATTCAGCCCTTGGGGGATAAGAACAAGAACACTTGAGAAGCCAAGTACAGTGGTTCACACCTGTAATCCCAGCTACTTGGGAGGCTAGATGGGGAGGATCAGCGCTCAAGGCCAGCTCTGACAAATAGTTTATGAGATCCCTATCTCCAAAATATGGCTCAAGTGGTAGAGTACCTACTTTGCAAGTATGAAGCCCTGAGTTCAAATCCCAGTCCCACCAAAAAACAATCCTTAAGAAATGGTATTGTGCATATCAGATGGTGTTTAGTAATCTTTCTCTTTTGGATCATCATTGCCTTAGATCCATTTTTTCATTAGGTAATTTTCTAATTTTGTCAGTTACTAGCTAGAATCTTATAAAGAGCAATTTTTCTTTATCAACTATGTGATGATCCTGAGGTACAGTTTATATAGTAGAGGCACATTAAATGTTTGTTTTTTTCTTTACTTACTAGATTACTAGATAATGAGTGGGCTCACTAACATCCTCCAGAGGTGACTAGTAAATTTTTACCATCATTATAATTACACGAATTGAAATGTATTCCAGATATTTTAGTTCCTTGCCGTTGTTACCTTTACTGACAAGCAGAATGTCCCAAGTTGGACGTAGTCTCTGATGCTTGTCTTGCTTTCTGGTATGAAAAAAGATAGTTCATGAAGTGGCCATGAATATTTTGTACCCCAGATGTGAACTCAACCCATTCCTCTAATGCAGCAGGGTCAGTAAAGTGCTAAGTAATATTTTAGGTTTTGAGGGCATCTTTATCACAACTCTGCCTCTGTAGCATGAAAGATGCCACAGACAATAATGTAAACTAATGAATGTAGCTGTGTTCCATTAAAACTTTATGGTCACTATAATTGAGTATCATTTCATATTCATGGGTCATATAAAGTACTTTATATTTTTTAGCTGTTAAAAATGTGAAATTCGGGCTGGAGGAGTGGCTCAATTGGTGCCTGCCTAGCAAGTATAAGGCCCTGAGTTCAAACCCTAGTACTGCAAAAAAAAAAAAAACAATGCTAGCTTATAGACGGCAAATGTGGACTATAGTTTACCAATTCCCATTAATAGGAAATGGCGAGGCAGACAAATGTCTATGCTGTAGGGACCAGCGCTCATTATTTCTGGTCATTGTTTTTAGACCGTTCTATTGTATGCAACTGGGAAATGGGAAATAGACTTTTTTTAGTGTGTGTGTGTGTGTGTGTGTGTGTGTAGTACTGGGGTTTGAACTCAGGGCCACATGCTTGCTAGGCAGGCATTCCACTGCTTGAGCAACTCTGCCAGCTCTTTTTGCTTCATTTTCATAAGTTCATATGATACTTACAGGTCACATTTAAGGCTGTCAGCTTTTGCTTTTTTATTTACTGTTTTATTTGTAACTGAGAACAGTATGCCATAGGACTCTGGTCCCACACCTAGCTAAATTCAGGGAATGGTGTGTGTATCTCCCAGGCTAGGGAATCTCTGGCCTGGGTTGAGTTTAGAGCTGGCTGTTCTTAAACTGTTTTTATGCCAGTTCCCTGACAGGAAGTCAAGTAAAGGTGCCTCTTGCTGGGCGCTGGTGGCTCACGCCTGTAATCCTAGCTACTCAGTGATCAGGAAGATAGCAGTTAGAAGCCAGCCCAGGCAAAATAGTTCCCAAAATCCTGTCTCACCCAAAAAAAAAAAAAAAAAAAAAAAATCACTAAAAAGGGCTGGTGGAGTGGTTCAAAGTGTAGGCCTTGAGTTCAAACCCAGTACTGGCAGGAGGGGAGGTGGGGGGAGAGGAAGGTGCCTCTTAACATCTCTCCTCAGCCCTTAGCCCTGGGCTCCTTGCATGGGAGACAGCCCAGTTAATGGAGGGCTCTATGGGCTTAGGCTTCTGGGTCACTATACGCAGGCACTGAACCTGGGAGTGCCAAGGCCTCATGCAGTAACACTTCCTCTTGAGGGTATCGTCTTTAACCACTCAGAATTTATCTTATTGGAGAACCTGACTTCCCGCTATGAGGTGCCTTGTGTCCTGGACCTCAAGATGGGCACACGCCAACATGGTGATGATGCTTCAGAAGAGAAGGCAGCCAACCAGATCCGAAAATGTCAGCAGAGCACATCTGCAGTCATTGGTGTGCGTGTGTGTGGCATGCAGGTGAGGAGTGTGTTAGTGCAAGACAAGGGCTAGCTAGGCATCCAATGGCTGTCTCTTTCCCACTGTGGCATAGTACTGTTTTGCTCTAAAGAGTACAGAATTTTGACCCTACATGAGTCTCTTGCTTTGCAGCTAAGAAAGAAAGCATGTATGCCTGGGTGATCCCACTGAAGCTAGCCTGCCTGGGTACTGAATCCATAGTCTGTGGATAGGAGTAGAACACAAGGCAAGAGAGTCAGGCTGTCTCCTCCAAATGCAGAGTAGGGGATTGGGGGACAATGACTGAACCCAGGTTAGATGGCTGTCTCCTGGGTGGGTGATGATCAGATAAGATACATCTTCTTAATAAGTACATCCTAAAGGATCAGATCTGGGCTGCCATATTCCCCACCACCACCACCAAGGTTCAGGCCTTGAGATGGCCTTAGCCCCTGACCTGCTGGTCTCTCCCACAGGTGTACCAGGCAGGCACTGGGCAACTCATGTTCATGAATAAGTACCATGGGCGGAAGCTGTCAGTGCAGGGCTTCAAGGAGGCGCTTTTCCAGTTCTTCCACAATGGGCGGTACCTGCGCCGTGAGCTCCTGGGCCCTGTGCTCAAGAAGCTGGCTGAGCTGAAAGCAGTGCTGGAGCGACAGGAATCCTACCGTTTCTACTCAAGCTCCCTGCTGCTCATCTATGATGGCAAGGAATGGCCTGAAGTGGCCCTGGACTCGGATGCTGAGGACTTGGAGGACCTGTCAGAGGAATCGGCCGATGAGTCTGCTGGTGCCTATGCCTACAAGCCTATTGGTGCCAGCTCAGTGGACGTGCGCATGATCGACTTTGCACACACTACCTGCAGGCTGTATGGCGAGGACACCGTGGTGCATGAGGGCCAGGATGCTGGCTATATCTTTGGGCTCCAGAGTCTGATAGACATTGTCACAGAGATAAGTGAGGAGAGTGGGGAGTGAGCTTACAGGATGTTCCAGTACTTGAGAGACTCTCTGTATCCCAGGCACAGCTGTGCTGCGTCAGGGAGGAGGCCAGTATGGCCAAGTGGTGGCCTCTGCAGCCTGGAGCTGATATGCAGTGGCCTCTGTGAGCCCCAGCCTGAGCCAGCCCCAGCCGTGCTCAGAGTCATTATTTATTTTAACTATTTCTTCAACATTCCACATATGATGATGCAAATACCTCTTTCTTCCCTGAGTGTAAATGTTCTAATACAAATCTTTTTGTTTATTGTATGCAGTGCTGCTGTTGTTCTTTCCAGGCGCATGCAGCCCCTCTCCCAACTTGCAGAACCCTTACCATATGCTATGACTCCTCCCTGGTCCAGCAGTATTCTACTACCCTCACTCTATGGATCCTACAGTCTTGGCTTGGCCTTCAGTTACCCAATCTAGCCTTTGAAGTCACTCCTCCCACCCCTGAGTTGGGGGGTGGAAACCTACACACATACCTTAGCCAGGTCCCTCTGTGCTGGTTGAGTCTCCCAGCACCCGTGCCCCAAAACTACCCTTGATACAGGTCTTCTCTTGGCCCTCTGCAGTGTAAGCAAATACTGGACAGCAAGTGCTCCAATTTCTTGGGTCCAGCTTTTTTTTTTGTATAGGGGTTTGAACTCACAGCTTTGTACTTGCTAGGCAGGTTGCTTGAGGCACTCCTCATCCCTTTTTGCTGTTTACTTTTTTGTGTGTGGTGGAGCTTGGGTTTGAGTTTGGCTTTGCCTTTGCAAAGCAGGCACTTTACCACTTTAGCCACACCTTCAGTCCATTTTGCTGTAGTCATTTTGGAGGTGGGGGAGGGGGTCTCGAACTTTTTGCCTGGGCTGGCCTCGAACTTTGATCCTCCAGATCATAGCCTTCCAAGTAGCTAGAATTACAGGTATAAGCATCTGGTGCCAGCTTGTCCTGCTTACTTTTGAAGTAAGATCTTGCTCTTTCCCTGGGCTGGCCTGGACCACCATTCTCCTGTTTTATCCCACGTAGCTGGGATGATAGGCACACACCACCACGTCTAGCTTTTTTCAGTTCAGGTGAGGTCTCCTGGACTGGGCTGGACTCAAACCCTTCTCCTCCTGATCACAGCCTCTCAAGTAGCTAGGAATACAGGTGCCTGGGTGGTCCAGCTTTTGATCCCTCCTGTGCTATTGGTAGTAGCACAAGGCTGGACATTGTGATGTCAGATATCCTGGAGCCAATACTGAGGTCTCAAGTAACCAAAATGCTCCAGTCCATTGGCAGACATAGGGCCCCAGGTGGTGGAGAGCATAGTGAGAGTTGTTCTGGGCAGGTGGTCCATCAGTCCACTCCTAGCCAGCCCTGGACTCCAGAGCAATTACACTAGCCGGCACAGCACTTAGAAGAGGTACCACTGTCTGTGCCTGGAGGGCTTCTAGGAAGAGTCGTGGCCAAGAGAGGTCTCGAATCGCAGAGAAACCAGGGTCTGGATGTCAGGTTCTAGCAGCTCCATCTCACTTGAGCCTACCAGGACCTCCTCCCCAAGGCCTTCCCATGGGCCTGCCTCCACTATGCCTAAAAATGTGTAAGCCAAAAAACACTAGTCTGCTGCCCACATCTACTCCCTGAGATGAGGCTTTCAGTTTGCATGACTGAATCAGTCCCAAGGACCTTTGGAGCCTCTTCCCTGGGGTTCCCTGGGACCCCAAGGACTTCAAAGACCTGGAGGTTTGGGCTGTCAGGAAAGCTGGGTCAAACATGCCCTTTTTTTTTTTCTTTTTGACACAGGGTCTCACTATGTAGCCTAGCCTGGCCTTGAATTCACCATCTTCCTACCTCTGCCTCTTGAGTGCTGGGATTACTGGCGTAATTGCCATACCCCTGCTCAAAACATGCTCCTAAGGCTACATGACATCCCATGCTCCCACCCTCTGCCAGCATTCCTCTCTGCTGTCATTAGGGGCATCAGAAAGTGAGTCCCATAAAGACAACAAAAGAAGTTGGGCGCTGGTGGCCCAGGCCTGTAATCCTAGCTACTCAGGAGGCAGGGATCAGGACGATGGAATTTCAAATCCATCCAGAGCAAATAGTTCGAGAGCATATCATGAAATGAACCCATCACAGAAAAAGGACTGGCAGGATGACTCAAGTACTAGAGCACCTGCCTAGCAAGTGTGAGGCCTGTTCAAAACAGCAAGGTGATTGATAGGGATGACAAAGGGGAAGTGTTTCAGGCTGAGGAAACAACAGAAATAAGTAAAAGGCCCGTTATTGAGGGGAAAAAGAAGCCAGTGGCTGAAGAAGGGGGGGAGGGGTAAGATGAGAACGGGGAGCAAAGATGGGAATACTTTGACCTGATTTCTGCTATAGCTTCTATCTCCACACTTGCTCCTTATTGCCCACCGCCAGGGCAGAAACAGAGCAGGGACTTGGTGATGAGGATTTTGTGACTGTAGACACGCTGAGGAGACCCGGCCCCAGGGAGGAACTTCCAAGTGTCGATCAACAGGCTCCCACAATGAAAGTGTCCTTTACTAGTCACCGTCCTAATTGTCGGGACCCACTTCCCGGGGGCTGCGAGGACATAACAGCTACGAGCCCAGCGTACCATCTTCGGGAGATAGGGTGGCAGAGCTCGGACTTAAGCGGCAGAAGGAAGTAGAGGGACTGGCGAGGGTGGAGTCGAAGCCGGGGTTCTGAAGGCAGGGGCTGGGTCTGGGAGCCAGGGGGGCCGGTGGACTTTAGAGCCCCGCCCCGTTGAACCTTTTGAGGCCGCCAGGGGGCGCGGCACTCCAGTGCGTGGGCTGACACTCTCGGGGCGGGGCGGGGCGGGGCTGCGGCGGGCGGGCGCACACGCGCACGCGTGGTGTGTCACGGGGCGGGGCAAGCGCGGTTCGGCACTCTCGGCCTGGCGTCCTGACTGCAACCCCAGCCGCCAACCCTGCACCGGCGCGGCCCAGTCCGGCCCCATGTACCGCGCGCTGTATGCTTTCCGCTCGGCGGAGCCCAACGCGATGGCGTTCGCGGCGGGCGAGACCTTCCTGGTGCTGGAACGCAGCAGCGCACACTGGTGGCTAGCGGCGCGGGCGCGTAGTGGCGAGACGGGGTACGTGCCGCCTGCCTACTTGCATCGCCTGCAGGTGAGTGTGCCTTTTCCTGACCCGGCTTTCCGAGCCGGCCTCCGCAGCCCCTGCCACTGGACCCCCTTCACAGGTCCTCATAACCGACCCAGAGACCCCAGATCCTTCGGGACTCGAGGCTGGGACCTCTGTTAGACAGGGAGTTTGAGAATCTGACCCTGAGACCCATGGAGACTGAAATCGCAAGGGCCAGCAGCCCCCACAGAAGACCAGGCCCTTGACATCCAACCTACCAAAAAGCTCTACTTACCAAAAGCTCTACTGTAGGAGTAAGATTCATTGGGACCCCAAATCACCCATATTAGACCCTCCATCTAAATAGAATTCTAGTGTTAGATCCAGGCACCAGTCCAGTTACCGAAATCCCGGAGACGCCAAACCCTTAAGATTCTTCTTTCCTGGGTCCCTAGGATTGCACATCTTTGCCTTCCCTCGCACACACATACTAGTTGGAACCCACCTTTACCACGGGAGACCTTACCTCCACCACTGAGACTGCACAACCGTAGATACCACCTGTTTCCCCCAACCATTGTCCCTTAGACGCTGGAGCCTTAGATATCCCATACTCCTAGATAACCCCCAAGCCTTGGGATCTCAGTATCTTTCACTATCCTGTACTCATCCATCCCCTAAGTTCCTCCCAAGCATCCCCCCTCCATCCCTCTTTGAAGCAAGGACTCTGGCTCCTGTTGACGCTGACACTGCCCCCTGTTCTCCCCACCCCCTCCCAAGCCTCAGGCCCTGATTTATCAGACTTTCTCTAAAATCTGGGGTGCTCCATCCCTCCTTGTCCTTAGCCTGGAATGAGGCCTGCTCCTATTGTGAGGAAGTGAGTCCTCTTCAATGGCTTCCCCTGGTCTGACCATGGCCCCATTTCCTTGGAGTGGAGGCTGCAGTCCCAGTTCCTGTTTCCCAAAGAGTAGTCCTGCTGCAGAGGTTGGGGCTGTCTCTCTAGCTGGTCCATTCTGATCACAGGGAAGGAAGGCCCAGAGCCCACTGGCCTGTACCAGACTCCTGCCCTGTCCTAGTCCTTAGTCTTTAGGAAGCGTCCTGTCCCAGCCCAGCTCAGGACAGAAATAACGGGATAAATTTGGAGCCGTCATCTGGTCTTACTGTAGGGTTGGGTCCTGGGCCTTGGGGGCTTCTTCAGTGTCCCTGGGTTTGACTTCATCTAGGCATGCTTGAGGTGAGAATGGGGGGCCCTAGACACAAGGGCTACTGGGTCTGGAGTGAGTGTGTCAGACCAGGACCAGTGGGATTGGGTGTTTGGGTAGGGAAATGAGGCTACCATCTTCTCTGTTGCAGTCTCTTGGTTTCTTTCTGCATCCCCCCTGTGTCTCGGTTTCCCTGACTGTATATCTGTCTCATTCTGACTCTCCACTTGGGTGTTTTCTCTTCTTCTGACTCTCCATTCTGTCTCTGGTGCTCAGTTTTCTTGCATTACCCCCTTGCTTTTGCCTTCTGTCTCCAGGTCTGTCTTACTGTGTGTGTGTGTGTGTGTGTGTGTGTTTCTCTTTCTGTCCCCCTATCTGTCTCTTGTCTCTCTGCACCCTGTTATGATCCATGCCACCTGGAGGGCTTTGCAGACCTCTGCATCAATCTGTTTGTCTTCATCAAGGAAGCTTTGCCTCTGCTTTGAGGCTCCTGTTTAGCCTGGTGGACTATGTATGTAGGGATAAGGAGAGGGGGGGAGATGGCCAGTCCCACAGCTGTTCCCCACACCCTACCTCATACCAGGCAGTGGGGCAGACTGGACCCCTTGGGCTACTAGGAATGACAACACAGACTAGGGACCAGGCCTGTTTCTCATGTCCTTCCTTTACCACAAACAGAACTGCTTCCCAGGGGAAGTTACTGGGACATTTTGAGAGTGTGAGAGTGGCAGCAAGGATGGGAAGGGAGGTTCTTTGGGCTCATTACTAACTTTGCAGAGGCCTGCAAAGGACTCTCGGAGAACAAAGCTGTTCTGGAGTGTGACCTTGGTTTTGTGAAGGATCAGCGAGATACAGAGTGACTTATTAAGGATTCCAGACACTGGAGGCTTCCTGCTTGGCATTTCAATCTGGGCTCTGAGCCAAGCCCAGGGATAGACTAGATGTGCACTGTGGCCCTACACTGGGAATCCCTGGGCTGTGATTTTGCTCTAGACCTCTGGTTTTCAGAGGCATCTTAACCCAGAGTCTCTCTGTGGGGTAAAATCCTAAGTGGGACCTCAATATGTAAACTGGCATCATGGGAGCTACTTGTGCCTCTGCTTCCTGAATGATGCAGTTTGAGAACTTCATTCCATAATCCATAATTCATTTTGGCTCTGTGCTCATGTTCTGAGATTTAGCTGTGGTAGTCCTCTGGTTCCAGCCTGGGCTGGGTCTGGGCTGAACACCCCAATTTGGCCCCCAGGTCTAACTGCCCACCCCTTCACCCTAGGGTGTGGAACAGGATGTCCTCCAAGCTATTGACCGGGCCATCGAGGCTGTGCATAATGCAGCCATGCGGGATGGTGGCAAGTATAGCCTGGAACAGCGTGGAGTCCTCCAGTGAGTGGCGGGGAGGTGAGGGTGGCGCCTCCCAGTGAGCATGGTGGGCTAGGGTCCTTCAGTGAGGTCCAGAGATGTGCAGGGGCAATACTGGGATAGTATTGGGTAATACAGAGTGGGGAAGATGGAGGTGGGAGGGGCCTGGACTGTGGGATCCCAGCATCCCACAGACACCATGTGAGGACTTTGGGAGTTGTGAAGTAGCGTCACCAACAGTCTCCCTATATCCTTCCATCAGGAAGCTGATCCACCACCGCAAAGAGACCCTGTCTCGCAGAGGCCCCTCATCTTCCAGTGCTGCAGTTATGACCCCATCCACCAGTGACCACCATTTGGATGCTGCCGCCACTAGGCAGCCCAACGGGATGTGTCGAACTGGGTTTGAACGGCAGCACAGCCTGCCTAGTTCAGAGCATCTTGGGGCAGATGGAGCCCTCTACCAGGTACCTGGTGAAGAGGGAAATGGGTGGGACTTAAGACTTCATCCAGAGGCTCAGGGGGTCCACTTGGGTCAGGGATGCAGCCAGAGCCATAGCTCTGTCCTTGCTCAGGGTTCAGGGCTGCAAACAGCAGTCTGTCCCTCCAAATGTCATTTCCTTCCTCCCAGATCCCACCACAACCTCGCCGAGCAGCACCCACCACACCACCCCCACCAGTGAAGCGCCGAGATCGTGAGGCCATGGTGGTCTCTGGGAGTGGTGAGAAGGCAGGGTTGGAGGAATTGGGGTGGGGGTACCCTGGGCTTGCAGTGGTTGCTGTTCCTGTGTCAGGCAGATGGGGCTCTAGGCTTGGGGAGAAGATAGGGTCCCCATTTTGGGGCAATTGGGGGGAGGCAGTGGGGAGGTGAGACCTAGCCTTATATTGGATGGGGACTAAAAGGACTGGGGGCTTCCTGGGGGCTGCCCTAGCACAGCATCTACTCTCTGCTCACAGGCAGCCGCAACACCACACCCTCCGGGGGTAGTTCTGTGTCCAGTGGCTCTTCAGTCAGCAGCACCTCCCTGGACACACTCTATACCGGCTCCAGCCCCTCTGAGCTGGGCCCCAGCTGCTCACCCACGCCCCCCCCTGTGCCTCGCCGAAGCACCCATACCACTGTGTCCCGAGCTCAGCCTTCTCCCTCCAAGGCACTAGCCCCTGAACCCCCTGCAGAGGAGGTGGCAGTTGGTACAACCTCAGCCCCTGATGACCTGGAAGCCCTGAGTGCACTGAGCCTGGGGACCACAGAGGAGAAGGCAGTGGCTGAGACGGCTGTGCCAAGGACCATTGGGGCAGAGCTGATGGAGCTTGTGCGGAGAAACACTGGCCTGAGCCATGAATTATGCCGAGTGGCTATCGGTGTCGTGGTGGGTCACATCCAGGCCTCCGTGCCGGCCAGTTCACCTGTCATGGAGCAGGTCCTCCTCTCGCTGGTAGAGGGCAAGGTGAGGGTGGGCAGCAGAGCCAAGAGCCTCCCCACCCTCAAGCCACCCTGTTAGTCCTGCCCTGTTCCCACCCTCATACATTTATCTAGCCTATACTTGACAGGTATTTGTTGAGCTCTAGCTCTGGCCTTTCTGAGCTGCGCACTGGGGACATTTGCGCTGACCCATCAAGGGGAAAGGGAGGAGGAATATTCCAGGCAGAGGCTCAGCCTGAACAAGGGTCATGAGGCAGAACTGAGCTTGGCTCACAGGGCAGCATGGGTGGAATAGGGTAAGAGAACAGGTGGTGTGTGAAGAGGTGAGACCTGAGACAAATGACAAGTGAGATCAGGATGAGGCAGGGGTGGAGGGGAGCTTCCTGCCGCCTGGAGGGGTTTCCTACTATCTTTACGGGCTCAAACTTCAGGAAGGAATAGGCTTAGGGCATGAATGAGGGCAGTAAAGTCTTGTTGGCCTTGGCTCTGGAGAGAAATAAGTGCTTGGAGAGTTATGAGGGAGGTTTAAGTGTTGTCTTGGCCCACAGTGAGGTGTGTGGGTAGCTGTGGTTCCTTGCCAAGGTTAGGGCATGGGTCAGGAACAGGATCAGGGGCTGTGAACCCAGACTACATGATGAGGGCTAGATTGGCTAAAGGTCCTTCCTTGGGGTTCCTCCTACAGTTCTATGTAGGAGCCAATGGGATGCCCATGTTGGGCATAGTGACCAGTGCCTGGTCAGCAGGGTTCAAGGAAAATGTGGGAGGTGGGTTAATGACAGTCCACTTTGTGTGAAATGAGAATATGAGGTCTCAGTTCAATTCAATTCAAGCAGTGACAGAGTCCATTCCCTCCTTGTTGGAAGTGTTTATCCAGGTCTGGGGCAAGAGGCAGGTACTTGGAAATCCTCCCACTGATGTGTCTCATGCAGAATCCTGTCCCAGGAGGTCATCAAGACTGGAGTTGAGCCCCCTGCCCAATGTGTGCCATGCAGGACTTGAGCTCACAGAATATAGGCCCATGGGTGCAGGCCTTGGGGGCTTCCTGGAGATGGTAATGGACATGGAATGTGCTAAGCTATGCCTTGCTGTCTCCTTCTAGGACCTGAGTACAGCCCTGCCCTCAGGTCAGGTCTGCCATGACCAGCAGAGGCTGGAGGTGATCTTTGCAGACCTGGCTCATCGGAAGGACGACGCCCAGCAGCGCAGCTGGGCCCTGTACGAGGATGAAGGTGTCATCCGCAGCTATCTGGAGGAGCTGCTACATATTCTGGTGCGGGGTGGGGGCCCACGTGTGTCCTTAGCATGTGGAGCAGTGACCCCTATCCTGCACCATCCCTCTTTAATGCTTGGGAGTTTCCCCTGCACATACATGCTGAGCTCACTCCCATGTGGCCATACAGCTCAGCTCACACTGGGTGACTCTCACTGGGTGACTTCCTCCTTCCTACAGACTGATGCAGACCCTGAAGTTTGCAAGAAAATGTGCAAGAAGAATGAGTTCGAGTCTGTCCTGGCCTTGGTGGCCTATTACCAAATGGTGTGTGCACAACAGGAGAGGGGTGTAGAGGGATGTGGGTAAGGGTGGAGGTTCCAGGCACTGAGCACACAGGGTCCCCTGCCAGGAACACCGAGCGTCACTGCGGCTCCTGCTCCTCAAGTGCTTTGGTGCCATGTGCAGCCTAGATGCAGCCATCATCTCCACGCTTGTGTCATCTGTGCTTCCTGTGGAGTTGGCACGGGACATGCAGACTGACACACAGGGTGAGGCAGGGGTGGGGGAGCTTCCTGCCACCTGGAGGGAGTTCCCACTACTTGCTGGGGGTTTGTGCCATCCTTGGAGGCACTGACTGCCTTCCTTGCCCCCCACCTCAGACCACCAGAAGCTCTGTTACTCTGCCCTCATCCTGGCTATGGTCTTCTCCATGGGAGAGGCAGTGCCCTACGCACACTATGGTAAGAATGCAGATCACTGACGAGCTGACCATGGGTCCCAGAGGTAGGATCCATGGCTCAAGTGTCTAAAGACAACCACAGCTTGGCAGGCATAAAAAGTCCCCAAGACTCATAGGAAGCCAAGGAGGCTGGGTGGTGTGGGGAGGAAGGTACAAGTCTGCAGACATCTGCATACCCTTCTTCCAGAACATCTTGGCACACCCTTCGCCCAGTTCCTGCTGAGCATTGTTGAGGATGGGCTGCCCTTGGACACCACAGAGCAGCTGCTGGACCTCTGCATGAATCTGCTTTTGGCACTCAACTTGCACCTACAAGGTGGGGGTGGAGTCTAGCTGAGAGAGGGATGGTCAAAGTGGGGCTTTCCAGGCCCCACACCTATGCTCTTCTCTTGTCTACACCTATGTCCTTCCTTAGCACCTGACCAGAATGTCATCATGGCTGCCCTGAGCACACACTCCAATGTCAAGATCTTCTCCGAGAAGCTGCTCTTGCTTCTGAACAGAGGGGGTGAGAGCCCAGGAATCTGTGCTCTGCCACTTTGATAAATTGTGACTCCAATGACCCCCTGCTTTGATACCTCCAACCCCCTGGGGTGACCCTGGGGTCCCAGGAAGGACCACCCTGATCCCTCTGATCCCTCCTCCCACCCGCCTTTTAGATGACCCTGTGCGTATCTTCAAACATGAGCCACAGCCACCACACTCAATCCTCAAGTTCCTGCAGGATGTGTTCAGCAGCCCTACCACAGCTGCCATCTTCTACCACACAGACATGATGGCACTTATTGACATCACTGTTCGGCAGATTGCGGACCTGTCACCTGGAGACAAGGTGCCTGGAGGTTTGCCACAGAGGGGATAGGAGCTGAGTAGAAACTGAACCAAAATGGGGGGATGTGGCATTGAGTGGAGATGAAGGTACAGGGCCACTGCTGGAGCCAGGAAAGTGTGGGAGGCTACTCAGAAATCAGGACAGGTTTGCCAGGACCCAGTGGAGCCAACCATGTGGCAATCTGGAGTGGAGTGTTTGGAGAAAGCTGAAGTGGAGCAATGGATAGAGATGAAATAGAGTTTACGCAGAGCCTCCGAGGCTGCAGTGACAGGTTAGGATCTCGTTTTAGAGGAAGAGGAAGTGAATGGAACTCACTGCCATACTGTGCGAAGACAGAGTGGAAGCTGGGAGGCTGGTGGCATGGTTGGGTAGGGAGAGGCCATGGTGGTGAAAGAACTCAGGTTTGAGGTATGTTGGAAGTGGATCCAGTAGAGCTTGCTGCTGGATTTGTCATGAGCAATGAAGTGGTTATAGTGCTGATGATTGATTGATGGGAGAAGGGCTGTGGGGGAGGGGATTTCTTGGGGAAAAATAGAGTTGTGTTTTGAATGGGTCAAGATTTTGAAGATGGGCTAACAGTGGCTCAAGTGGTGGAGTGTCTGCCTGGCAAGTGTGTGGCCCTGAGTTCAAACCCTACTATCACCAAAAAAAAAAAAAAGAGAGAGAGATACCTGCTAGACATTTTGGAGTTGTCTGTGCAGAGATGTGATGGGAAGCCCTTGAAATGGTAGTCACCTAGGAAATGAGATAGATGGGTAGGGTTAGCGGGGAGCTTGGGCTTCAGCTCAGGCACAGCAGGGCCAAGTAGGGAGAAACCCAGGAGACAAAGCTAGGTGAGCAGGAGCCATGTGTTTGGAGGAAGGAAATCAGCTGTCTCTAGACTGTTAGGAACCTAAGGTAGGGCTGAAAATTAGCTATTCACTTTGCCAAGTGACGGTCAGTGGTAACTGACCAGTGTTGTCATTGGAGCAGAAGCTTGTCTGAATGAAAAGTCAGAGAATTTGAAGCTATTGGAGAACAGAAAAAAGGGGTGAGGTGGAAGGAGTAAATGGAAATAACTTTTGTACATTTTCTGTGAAGGAAAACAGAAAAATTGGGGGAAGGGTGTGCTGACAATGTGGGATCAGGGAGGGTGTTTCAAAGGTGGGAGGTACTGGCACATGTCCTGAGCCAGAGGGAATATTCCAGTAAGCATAGAGAAATGGACAACACATTGGGAGGAGTGAGCCTTTTTCTGTAGGAGGCAAGTAGATGAGGCAGAGAGAAGGGGTGGCCAGGCCTACCTGAGCAGGAACCAAGGCAGTTCATTCTGGTAGGGACACGTGAGAGTAGAGTGCTGACAGTGGGAGACAACGGTTTTCTAAAAGATTGCTTCTGTTTTCTCCATGAAGTATGAGGTCAGCTGACCATGAAGTTTAAGTTTAGAAGACAGAAGCTGGGCAATAGTACTGAAAGGAGAATGAACACAGCAGAGTTTAAAAGCAGTGGGAGTCCCCAGTCATACCAGGTATCCGATTGAGGTTTATAGTAGTGAGTGCTCTGTGCTTGTCTACTGCTTAGACTCTGGCATTTCATGCACAGGCACCTGGGTCTGATTCCTGGGGTTGGGAATTAGCAGAATGATGCTGCCCGAAGGAGGTTTTGGTATTGATTCCTGTGATCAAAGGTAAAGAGAGTGTTCAAACCCCAGTACTGCCCAAAAAAAAAAAGGTAAAGAGAAATGAGGGACATTGAAGGGGCAGACAGAAAAGTCCTGCAGTCAGGTCAGTGGGTTGGTATTCACAGGGCACAGAAGAGCTTGAATGTCAAGTCATGGGGGCTGTTGGAATTACTTAAGCCAGAAGTGCTGAGAGTATGGGTTGGGTACCCTCGGCTTCAAGGCAGGTAGGGAAGGTAAGATAGCCAGGTCTTGGAGATACATTGAATATGGGGTGTTTGGGAGAGAGAGGACATCTGCATTTCAGGCCTGTGACGCTGGGTCAACAGTGGTATTCGCTCCTAAAATAAAGAATATGAGAAAGCTTTCAATTTAGAGGGGATGGGGAAGAGCATGAGTTTAAATGTGGACTTGTAGGTTTAAGAGGCCTCTGAGATATGCAGGAGACAAGCAGGCAATTGGATATTCTTGTCTGACGTTACAGGACAGGTCTAGGTGAGACACTTGAGGGTGGGTCACTGTTTCAAGCTGTGGGTGTGGATGAGATCCTCCAGAACGAGAGGGATGGGGAGGTGACATACATGGCACCTGAAGGGTCACACCCTGAGACTCCGAGGCTGGGAAGATTCATTCACTTATTCAACAAGTGAAGCCAGTTCTGTGCCAGGTACACTCTGGGTGCTGGGGGTGCAGCCCTGATGTTCAAGTAGTGTGAGCTGGTCCTTAGCCCTGGGGTCCATGGGGAGTAGTAGCCAGTCCCTGTCTGGTGGCAGTCGCGGTACTCCGATTTCCTTGAGCCAGCCTGCTCTTTCCACAGCTGCGCATGGAGTACCTTTCTCTGATGCATGCCGTGGTCCGCTCCACACCCTACCTGCAGCACCGCCATCGGCTGCCTGACCTGCAGGCCACACTGCGGCGCATCCTGACTGAGGAGGAGGCTTCACCCCAATGCCAAATGGACCGAATGATTGTCCGAGAGATGTGCAAGGAATTCCCAGTGCTGGGGGAGGCCCCCAGCTAGCACCTTCCTTTTCTCCCTTCCCTGCAGCCCTGGTCAGGGTGCAGGGAACTCATGATAAGAATGTTTTGCACTGATAGTGTGAGGGGATAATGGAGTAGAAGGGACCTGAGCAGGGCCCCCCCACCTGAAGTAGAACTAATGCAAGGAGCCAAGTATAGGATTGGGGACCATGGTCTGGGAGCTTTGCTGGGCAGAAGAAATGTGCAAGTTGGAGCGCCTCTATACCCTGATAGGCTGCCTCTTCAGCATGCCACCCCCTGTACCTATGTGCATACCCAGAATCCTGCTGCTGCTCCAGGCTGGGCCAGGGCCCTCATCCCTATCCCACCTGCTCTGAGTCCTGAGCCTCAGCAAGCCATGTCCTTGGGGGTGAGGGAAGCTACCTCTCACCAGTTCTGTACTTTGCCTTAGCTTTGCAGTGGGTGTTGCTCATGTGCAATTCTGTCCCCTGTAAGGATCGGTGTCACCAACCCTCGCCTCATTTTCAACCCCAGAGGCCTTGTCCAAATTGCTGCTTGAAAGCGGACTCTTGGGAGACAGTCCATCCATCCTGGAGCCTCACGAGACAAGGTGATGGCACTGAGAAAGCCAATGATAGAGTCTATTTTCTCTAAAAATGACCGAAAAGCCATGTGTATTTTCCTATGTGCTACAGCTCACCTTGAGAAATAAATTACAGGCATCTGGAATTGAGCTTCTTGGTATAATGCTGGGGGATAGAGGGAGAGGATGGGTGGAGATGCTGGGGTCCCAGGACCTCATCAGTCCAGCTTATACTGACTTCACCTGAAGAAAGATGAGCCCTGACAGGACTGGCCTCCACAGCCCCATGGGTCCTGTTCTAGTCTTACCCCTGGGTTCCTTCTCCTGAGGACCACAGCCAAGTTCCCCTGTAATCCACTTATAGGTGGCCAAGCCTCCAGGCTGTTGTCCTGTATACCTGTTGTCAAACGAAGCAGGCCCTTTTCCAGCCCTGGTCTCCCTGAACATGTGGGTCTTGTCCAGGCTTATTTCCCTTATCATTGGGGCCAGCATGATCCCCACCTCAGCAGAGATTTGGTCATGTTGGCGGGTCAAAAGAATGTTAACAAGGTCGGGTCAGTTTGCAATCCAGTATTAGGGGCCAGAGTTGACAAAAACTTTGTTCTTTTTATGGGTTCCTAATTTAGCAGAAAGCCTTTCATGGAAAGTGGGCAAGGGAAGTCAGGGCCCACAGGCAGGCAGCAGTCAGAAGTGCTGTTCTTCAACCATTTCTTGCTTGGGGCTTCTCATGCATCAGATGGACCCTCATGCAGAATCACTGACTTCTGTCATGACTTTTCCTTTTTTATCGGAGTACTGAAGGCAGAGGGCTGTTAATTTCCCAGTAAGAATATGGTAGAGCAGGGATAGAGCCCCCAACAAGCTGGTTCTAGGAAGCTGAGGTGGGAACACTTGATAGAAAATCCATGGAGGAGGGCAGCACAGGGGCCTGCTGGGGGGGAGGATGTCCCTCTGTAGCCATTGCTTCTGTTAAGTGCTGAGTATACAGACTCGAGGTGGGGGGACACAACCTGTTTACTCTTCATCCTGGAGACATTGTGCCTCCCCCTTCAAACCCAGAAACAATGACACTTCCAGTCACGACTCCCATCTGGTTGGGGAGCTGAAGACACGGAACCGTTATTCTCATGAGAGTATAATTCAGTGAAAAGCACAGGTCTTCAGGAAGCCGAGGCAAGAACATCTGATGGCATTTTTGACTGGCTGTGTTTCCTGTCATTACTGTTCCATTACTGGCATTTCCTGTTCCATTACTGGCATTCTGGAACAGGTGACATAGCACAGCCCAAGGATGAACAGTGTGGCCCCATGGCAAACGCCTCTACCCACTTTGCAGGATTGTCCAAGGGGCCATTGCGTGTGTTTGTAAGGAATGTAGAAGTCCTAGCTGACAAAGTTACACAAATGCTGGATCCTGGTAGCAAGAATGCACTAAGGGGGTCAGGATTCCAGGACCCCCCTCAGCAAACACTCTGATAATGGTCTTAAAACACAAAATTATAGCCATAAAGGAAAACTGTGATCAGCTACAATCTCTGGCTGCTTGGAAGTTTGGTACACGTGGGATGTGGCTAGGCAGGAGAAAGGACAATGAGAAACAGCACTAAGCCACTCAAAGAAAGGGAAAGGTTTGGGTGGGGTTGAGAAGAAAAACCAGGGAGACAGTAGGGAGGTTGGGGCTGAATTCGGTGCCTAAAGGTCCTGGCACTGTGGCTGTGGACAAGCTTCACAGACACTGAGAGTATCTGCTGGCTTAGTTCCCAAATGATACAGCCCGAGACTCCAAGTAAATGAGGACAATTGTTTTTGTTTTAGTGAAAGAATAACATACAGTGAAAAAGCACAAGTCAAAGGCCAGCCTGGGAAAATAGTTCTGAAGACCAAAATAACTAGACCAAAATGGACTGGAGGTGTGGCTCAAGTGGTAGAGGCTGCTTTGCAAGTGCTAAGACTTGAGTTCAAAGCCCCCTGCCCTCCCCCAAAATAAAAGTAGTATTAAAAGTATAACTTAATGAATTGTGACAGCAAAAGTGCTAATATGACCACCACCTAGGCAAAGAAATATGTCTTCAGTCCCCAAGCTCACGTAATCACTCTATCATTGACTGCTCCTTCCTCCCTAGAGGTAATCATAGATAAATTTTGCTATGGAATCCTATGTATAAACTCTGGTCTCTATCTTCTGTCACATGCCATAAAGTGTTTGAGATTCCATCTTTCATAATGTGTGACATTCCCAATGCTGTTTGGGTAGCATTCTTACTTATCCATCGTCTACTCTTGATGGCCTTACAGTTTCCAGGTTTTTGGTTTGTTGTTTGTTCATTTCAATGCTGAGGATGAACCCAGGGCTCACACATGCTAAGCAAGTGCTCTACCACTGAGCTGTTTCCAGTGTTTTTTTTTAATCTATTATAAATAGGTGCTACAAGGAGCATTGTCATACATGTCTTCTTGTTGCTTGTATGCATTATTTTGGGGGATATATTTCCAAGAGTAGAATTGTAGGGTCACTGGCACATACTGCCAAATACTTTCCCAAGGTACTTCTACCAATGTTTGCTCCTCCAGTTGTGTCTCAGAGTTCCAGCTCCTATTTTCTCCAAACTTGGTATAGCTGGGTGTCACTCAATGGTAGAGGGCTCTCATAGCATTTGCAAGGCCCTGAGTTCAATCCTCTGGGAAGATCGATAGGTAGTAGACAGACAGATTCTTGATACTGTCAATAATTTTCATGTCAGTCATTTTTATTTTAGCCATTCTGGTATAGTAGTATTTATTTATTTATTGGCTGTACTGGGGTTTGAACTCAGGGTTTCACACTTGCTAGGCAGACACTCTACCACTTGAGCCACTCCAGGAGCCCTCTTATTTATTTTTTTCATCTGCATTTCCCTGATGACTAAAGAGGTTGAGCATCTTTTGGTCAGTTACTAGATGTTTTCTTTTTGTGATGCTTATTAAAATTTCTTGTCCATGTACCTATTGGTTTGTCTTTTACTGATTTATAGTATGTATTTGGGCTATGAGTCCTTAGATTTTATATTTTACAGTATCTTCTCCCATTCTTTTTTTCTTTTTGGAGACTGGGTTTGAACTCAGGGCCTACACCCTGAGCCACTCCAACAGCCCTTTTTGTAAAGGGTTTTTTTTCAAGATAGGGTCTTGTAAACTATTATGCCCAGGCTGGCTTTGAACACCAATCCTCCTGATCTCTGCCTCCTGAGTAGCGAGGATTACAGGGGTGAGACACAGGCGCCCGGCTTCTTCTCACTCTCATTTATCTGATAGGTCGTTCTATGTTGTCCAGGTTGGTCTCAAACTCCTGAGCTCAAGTGATCCTCCTACGTCAGCCTCTGGAGTAGCTGGGGCTCCAGGCACCACATACCCTGAACTGCATTGGTTCCTGTGTTTTTTTTTGAGACAAGTCCTGGCTATCTAGTCCTGGCTGGCCTGGGACATATCCTCCCATCTTAGCCTCTGACTGGTTCCCATTGTTACTTAAAATCTAATCCAATTTACCAATATCTTCCTTTCTAGTTAGTCCATTTTATATGCCGCTTTTAAAAACCTTGCTTAAACAAGGTGTGATGGTACATGCCTGTAATCCCTTCACTCACAAGAGGATGAGGCAGGAAGATTGAGAATTTGAGGCCAGTATGGGCTACCTAGCAGGACCCATTTGTCTTAAAACAAACAAACAAATAACAACAAGTGCTTAAAGTCATTGTTAGGATCTCCTGTGCTATCTTCTCTGAGCTTGTCTTTCCTTTCATATCCAGCTGTCAAATCTACCTGAAATTATGACACTAGTATGAAGTAGGTATCATTTAATTTTCTTCTATGTGGATATCCAACTGATCATTTACTGAAAAGCCCATCCTTTTCCCTGATGTTAGCTTTGAAGAGCCACCTTGTCCATATTCCACTTTCCACACATCTTTAGGCCTGTCTCTGGATTTGTTCCATTAGTTGTCTGTTCATGCACCAGCATCCTATTTTCTATGGTTGGCCTGGTACCTCAATCCTCTCAATCTTGTTCTCCCAAGTAGCTAGGATTACAGGCATGAGCCATCAGCATCAGTCTTTCTGTAGCTTTTTAAATCTTGATATCTAGTAGAGAAAGTTGTACTGCTATTGTGGTTGTTTTTTTCAAGACCGTCTTGGGTATTCTTGGCCCTTTCAGATTCTAGTTTGTCAGTTTACACACATACACACAATCTATTGGGATTTCAAAGGAAGTTGTATTTAATCTATATGTCAATCTCAGGAGAACTGGCACCTTTACATTTGAATTGTCCAGTCTTTGAATACAGCTTTTCACTCCATTCACGTCTTTCAATTTTTCTAGTTTTTTGTGTGTAGCTTTTTTGCACATTTTTCATCACATTTATTCCTCAGCACTTGATTTTACTTGATGGTATTGCAAATGTCATTTTTTCCTGTTTCTGATATATAGCATGCAAGTGGTTTTTATATATTGGCCTTCTGTCTAGTAACTTTGCTAAATTCACTTTAACCATTTATTTGTAAGCTGTTCTGGCTTTTTTTTTTTTCTTTACATACACAGTCGTGTTGCTTGTGAGTTTTCTTTTTTTCCTTTCCAATTTTTATAACTTTTTATTGTTTTTCTTGCCTTAGTGCCTGGCCAGGCTCTCTGATATAATGCTGAGGCTTATGGGCTATGAGTGTAAAATGAGAACAATTATCAGGGCTGTGTGTTTTCCTTTGGCAGTGCTCTGCTGCTCCATAAGTGAGTCTTATTTTAAGAGGGGTTAGATCTTAGTACAGTGAAGAGCTGGGGAGTTATAGCAATGGGTTCTTTTTTGTGTTGTTTTGTTTTTGGTGTTGGGGATTGAACCCAGGGCCTTTGCACATGCTAAGCATGCAGTATAGCACTGGATTCGATAAAGTTAATGGGAAAGGTGAGGAGCTAAGGTCACACATTTGCCCTCTGATCTTCTGGATCTGCCCTACAGCAGCCTCCAATCTAGGTCTGTAAGCCTTGGGTGGACCCTCTAGTTTGGAACTGATGAAAAGAGAATGAGGATAAACCATACTGGGGTCACACTATGTTCCTAGAAGGCAGGGACAAGGATGGACTTGAAGGTGGAGGAAAAAACTATCAACATTTGACTTTTGTCTTAACAGGAAGTATATTAGGAGCTGCCACTGGTGGGGGGGGCGTATACAGGTGAGCAGATGGAAGGGCAGGAAGAGGGGAAAGCCTGCATAGAACAGCAGCCACAAAGAGAAGAGAACAGTGGAAGCAGCTACTGTGGGGAATCAAACAGAGGAACATCTGCAGTAGATACCGTGGCTCAGGTGTGTCAAGGAGCTCTGCCCTCCCCAAGGAGCACAGCTGAAGTAAATGCCAGCTCTGCTGATGAGAGAGCAGGCAGCCATGGATGGGTCCTTTATGCTCTGCACATCTGCCCACAAGGTCTCCAAGACCCTTCCTCACAGATGCTGGTCTTTGGTCATTCGTATCGCTGCTCAAGCTTCTGCAAGAAGCCCTCCCAGATCACTAACATGACTCAAGCCCGTCCGCTAGGACCCCAGCACTTCACTATCCCTCCGCCCGCCTCCTTCCCTCTTCGACCTCAGGTTTGTGCTCCATACTCAGTAAGACGTGGACCTAGACATCGGTGGGTGCTGTCAAAACCACCTCCTGGCCCTTTCTCCTCCAGTCCCTGCACCCAGTGGCCGCCATCCAATGAAGTTCCTCTTTCAGTGCTTCTGCAGATGCTTCACATCTACGAACCAACTGTAGGAACCGTGTATCTGGCACAGAGCTCTCTATCCCTACCTTAAACTCCGACACCCGAGCAGGCACGGCTGAAGCCCCCCAGTTAGTTCCTTTAGCCACGTGGGACGCTCGGGAGGTGGAACCCTTGGGAGCCCGGCCTCCCGGAAGCAGAGAAGTCTACGGTCGAGAGGATGTGCTGATTGGTTGGTGGTGATGTCATAGGTGCCTTTCGAGGCGGGCCAGAGGTCTTGATCAGGAGTTGTTGGCCCATTTGAAGCAGGGTCCACCCGGTTGGGGGTAGCCGCGCCCAGTGGAATATTCCGGGGTTCTGGCTCTGACCCTTTCCTCTGTGCCAGGATGCCTGAGTGGTCTGCACCTGGTACTGCAGCCCCTTGACGATGCCGCCTTTGGAGGCTGGTTGGTATAGCGCCTCCTGGGTTATTTCTCACCGCTGTCTTGAAACCCGCGGAGCCCCCTTCCCCCACACAATAAGTCCGCCGAGAGGGGCGGGGCCTCCCATTGTGCCAATAGAAACAATGACTCTCTGATTGGAATGCTCCGCCTTTACCCCTGCGCAGTTTCGTCTTCGGTGACGTCTGTTGCGCCGCTTCCAGCCATTGGCCAGCCAAACTCCGCGCGTGCCAGCAGTTGGACAGCGCGGGGAGAGCTGGATTGAATCCGGGCGAAGGAGAACTAAGCTTCTGTCAGTTCCTTTAAGGGGTTAAGGGACATGGTCGTCGCAAGCGAGGGGCGGGGAACTGAGAAAGCTGGGCCCACAGCTGTGAGGCTGCGCTGTGTTCCACGTGGCATCCCAGAGCATTCGGGATCGCGGCCTGGAGAGATATACCGTTCAGTGGAGGAGCCTCGAGCCTGGGAGACTGCTGGGGGCCAGGGAGACAGGAGCCGCTACTCCTGCCTCAGGAGGGTCATCTTCAGTCCCTGCTCCGTAGGGGCGCTCCGAACAAGCAGATATTTTCGACATGTTTCATAAGTAAAACTTGTGATCTAATAGTTAAAAAGCTAACGTCCCGGGCCCCTGTCTGGTGGTCATCATCCCCCTTTGTCCCATAGCCCATCTTCCCCGCCCCCCGCCCCGAGCCGTGAGAACGCTCGCTTCGCAGGTCATGGGCACCTATTTCAGGCCAAGATCGGTTACAGGCTTCGGAACTAGTGCTCAGAAAGAGAGAGGAGATCCATAAATAAAAGAAAGGCTAGGGAACAGAGCTGGAACAGTGCCCTAGGACAGAAGCAGGGAGGGGCGTCGGCAGCCAAGAGTGGGGGAACCTAACAGAGGAATTCCGTGCTTCACTCAGCACCGTGGACAGCACTTGTGTCCTCAATAAAGATGGCGGCAACAACTTCCTTCTCCAGAGTTGTCATGCGCGACGGGTTGTACCACCGCGTTTGGGGCGTCGGGGCGGAGGTGGAGCAAACCATCGGGGCGACCGGGAGCCATGTTGGAGCGTCGGGAGGCGGCAGCAGCGTCGGGGATGCTGTGGTGGGGGCAGCGAAAGCCGGGGCCGTATGCCAAAGGGGCTCTGGCCGCGGAGTAGATGGTGCCCAGAGAGCGGTGGCGGCGCGGAGTTATAGGCCGAGGGGCGGGAGGCCAGGGCGGCGGCAGGGGCCCAGGAGGGGGCCCGAGCGGCGGGGCGGGCCTAAGGCTCGAACCGGGGCGGGGGGCGGTGGAGGCCTTGTGGGGAGGCGGGGGTGATGGCGAGTCTGCCTCTCTGGCGGGGTCTCGGGGGATCGTCGGCCCCGGTACTCCTGCTCCTTCTCCTCCTCTCTTTGTTCCCCCTCAGCCGGGAGGAGCTGGGAGGCGGCGGGGACCAGGGCTGGGACCCAGGGGTAGCTGCTGCTACGGGTCCAAGGGCGCAGATCGGCAGCGGAGCCTTAGCTCTTTGTCCCGAGCCGCCTGGGGCCCGAGAGGATGGAGGGTCTGGCCTGGGAGTCAGAGAGCCTGTCTTCATGGGTCTCGGAGGGAGTAGGCAAAGCGCCGGGAGCGGTCGAGGCCCCCCTGAGCAGCCAGACACGGAGCTGGAGGTCCAGGCATTTGACAGCCGCAAGCCAGAGGCAGGACCGGGACCAGGGTCTCTGTTATGCTGGCAGCCAGAGGTCTCCTCTTGTGGGTGGACAGGGCCTTTGCGAAGAAGTAGTCTGTCGTCAGAGGCTCTGTCCCCTGGGGACCCGGGTCTGGGGAACATCTCGCCCCTCCCTTCGGACCTTTTGGCTCAGCCTAGTGGCCCCAAACCAGTGTCCTCTCAGCGTAACGCTAGGAGAAGCATCCGCAAAAGAGTGGAAACTGCGCGCTGCTGTGGGGAACTGTGTGCTCCAGGACTCAAGGGTCAGAACGAGAGAGCCGCGACGTCCCGAGTGCAGAGGGGACTCCCTCGACGGGACTGTCTTCCCGGGGCTGTGGAATCAGGAACCGGCCTGGATTCAGCACCTCGTGCGGCGAGAACAGCTCCTTCGCCGGGTTCAGCACCCCGTCACTCCCGGACAGCTCCCGAGCTGGTGCCCGAGCGCATGCGCTCCGTGGCCTCTTCCGCCGCCGCTTCCTCCCGCAGGGCCCCGGGCCGCGCCCCCCGGGGTTCCCGGCCGGCTCTGAAGCCTGGCGAATATCCTCAGCAAACCCGGCACGCCCCCGTCGCGCAGCAAACCGCCACCCGCAGTTCCCTCAGTACAACTACCAGACACTGGTGCCCGAGAATGAGGCGGCGGGCACCTCAGTACTACGCGTGGTGGCGCAGGACCCGGACGCCGGCGAGGCGGGTCGCTTAGTCTACTCGCTGGCGGCGCTCATGAACAGCCGCTCGCTGGAGCTGTTCAGCATTGACCCGCACAGCGGTCTCATCCGCACTGCGGCCGCTTTGGACCGCGAGAGTATGGAACGCCACTATCTGCGTGTGACGGCGCAGGACCACGGCTCGCCGCGCCTCTCGGCCACCACCATGGTAGCTGTGACAGTAGCTGACCGCAATGACCACGCGCCTGTGTTTGAGCAGTCTCAGTACCGGGAAACACTTCGGGAAAATGTGGAAGAGGGATACCCCATCCTGCAATTGCGTGCCACGGATGGGGACGCGCCCCCGAACGCTAACCTGCGCTACCGCTTCGTGGGGTCTTCTGCTGCACGCACGGCCGCTGCCGCTGCCTTCGAGATTGATCCGCGCTCTGGCCTCATCAGTACTAGTGGCCGCGTGGACCGCGAGCACATGGAGAGCTATGAGCTGGTTGTGGAGGCCAGCGACCAGGGCCAGGAGCCCGGACCACGCTCTGCCACCGTACGAGTACACATAACTGTCCTAGATGAGAACGACAACGCGCCCCAATTCAGCGAAAAGCGTTATGTGGCTCAGGTGCGTGAGGACGTGCGCCCCCACACGGTAGTGCTACGCGTCACGGCCACCGACCGGGACAAGGACGCCAATGGTTTGGTGCACTACAACATCATCAGCGGCAATAGCCGTGGTCATTTTGCTATCGACAGCCTCACAGGTGAGATCCAGGTGGTGGCACCTTTGGATTTCGAGGCAGAGAGAGAGTATGTCTTGCGCATCCGGGCACAGGATGCAGGCCGGCCACCTTTGTCTAACAACACGGGCCTGGCAAGCATCCAGGTGGTAGATATCAATGACCATACTCCTATCTTTGTCAGCACACCTTTTCAGGTCTCTGTTCTGGAAAACGCACCCCTGGGCCACTCAGTCATCCACATTCAGGCAGTGGATGCAGACCACGGGGAGAATGCCAGATTGGAGTATTCCCTAACTGGTGTGGCACCTGATACCCCTTTTGTGATAAATAGCGCTACTGGCTGGGTCTCTGTGAGTGGTCCACTGGACCGGGAGTCTGTGGAGCATTACTTCTTTGGTGTGGAAGCCCGAGACCATGGCTCACCCCCACTTTCTGCCTCAGCCAGTGTCACAGTGACTGTGTTGGATGTTAATGATAATCGGCCTGAGTTCACTATGAAAGAGTATCACCTTCGACTGAATGAGGATGCGGCTGTGGGTACCAGTGTGGTCAGCGTGACTGCAGTAGACCGTGATGCCAACAGTGCCATCAGCTACCAAATCACAGGTGGCAACACCCGGAATCGTTTTGCCATCAGCACCCAGGGGGGTGTGGGTCTGGTAACACTGGCTCTGCCATTGGATTACAAGCAGGAACGCTACTTCAAACTAGTGCTTACTGCATCTGACCGTGCCCTTCATGATCACTGCTACGTGCACATTAACATCACGGATGCCAATACTCACCGGCCTGTCTTTCAAAGTGCTCACTACTCAGTGAGTGTGAATGAGGATCGGCCAGTGGGTAGCACTGTAGTGGTCATCAGTGCCTCTGATGATGATGTGGGTGAGAATTCGCGAATCACGTATCTTCTAGAGGACAACCTGCCCCAGTTTCGTATTGATGCAGATTCAGGGGCTATTACACTACAGGCCCCACTGGACTATGAGGACCAAGTGACCTATACATTGGCCATTACTGCTCGGGACAATGGTATCCCACAGAAAGCAGATACCACTTACGTGGAGGTAATGGTCAATGATGTGAATGACAATGCTCCACAGTTTGTGGCCTCCCACTATACGGGGTTGGTCTCTGAGGATGCTCCACCTTTCACCAGTGTCCTGCAGATCTCAGCCACTGATCGGGATGCTCATGCCAATGGCCGGGTCCAGTACACTTTCCAGAATGGGGAAGATGGAGACGGAGATTTTACTATTGAGCCCACCTCTGGCATTGTCCGGACTGTGAGGCGGCTAGACCGGGAAGCAGTGCCAGTGTATGAGTTGACTGCCTATGCTGTGGACCGTGGTGTACCACCACTGCGGACTCCAGTCAGTATCCAGGTGACAGTACAAGATGTGAATGACAATGCACCTGTTTTCCCAGCTGAGGAGTTTGAAGTGCGGGTGAAGGAGAACAGCATTGTGGGCTCAGTGGTGGCCCAGATCACTGCAGTGGACCCCGATGAAGGCCCCAATGCCCATATAATGTACCAGATTGTGGAAGGGAACATCCCTGAGCTGTTCCAAATGGACATCTTCTCTGGAGAGCTAACAGCACTCATTGACCTGGACTATGAGGCTCGCCAGGAATATGTGATTGTGGTGCAGGCCACATCTGCTCCTCTGGTCAGCAGGGCCACTGTGCATGTCCGTCTGGTTGATCAGAATGACAACAGTCCCGTGCTCAACAATTTCCAGATCCTCTTCAACAACTATGTATCCAACCGCTCAGACACCTTCCCCTCAGGAATCATTGGGCGCATCCCAGCTTATGACCCTGATGTCTCTGACCACCTCTTCTACTCCTTTGAGCGTGGCAATGAGCTGCAGCTGCTGGTGGTCAACCAGACAAGTGGGGAGCTGCGACTCAGCCGAAAGCTAGACAACAACCGCCCACTGGTGGCCTCCATGTTGGTGACTGTCACAGGTAAGGGGAAGTGGACAGGCAAATGACCTAGTGACCCTATCAGGGCCTCAAACCAAAGAGGAACACCACAAGGGACCTCAAGGCAAAGAGAGATTTCCAAGCCTTCCAAGAATCCCTTAAGGGTTGGATTCCTGTGCCTAACAAGATCTGCCACAGACCTTACAGACCTCTGGTTAGGTTCTTGGACAGTGTCCACAAAACCCCAAAGATTCTAAGGCATCTAATACATCCCAGAGAGCTGGGGCATGGCTCAAGAGGTAGAGTGCCTGCTTAAGCAAGCACAGGCCCAGAGTTAAAACCCCATTACCATCAAAGATAGACAGACAGACAGACAGATAGAGACTAATACATACCATAAAGGCTATAAACAACTGTCTGCTACCCTACAGCTTGCTCCTCTCCCCTTAAAGGGTTGTGGAAGTCCACATTAATGCTCTGGAGGTCACAGGCAAAGCCAGTGCATACTGTGGCTTATGTTTAAATGAAGGGTTACTTTAGGTCTTGACTGACTGTGAACCCATCTGTGTAGGAAAAGAAGACCAGTAGTTTAGTGGTCAGGAACAGCAGCTTACTACAACAACTTTAGGCAAAGTAGGCCCACATTGGCCTGGCTGTCTAAAGCCCTGCTCTTTGGGAAAATGTCCAGGGGTCCACTTTACTCTTTCTTGCCTCCACTGTCCCAGGCTTTCACCAACCCCTCCCTAATAGGAGGGAGCAGGTAGAAAAGGTTCTTATTTATTTATTGTACTGGGGATCAAACCCAGAGTCTGGTGCCTGCTAGGCAAACACTCAACTACTTAGTTACATCCCCAGCTGGAAAAGGTCCTTGAAGCCCAAGCTACTGAGGGCTGCAGAAGTTGGGGGGACAGGCTTTTCTGGTGCTTATTCCTCAATTCTGGAGCCGGGACTCCTGTTGGTGTGTGTGGAGGGAGAGTATGAGGGTATGTCAAGGTTCAAGGTCCTCCTGGAGTTTGTTAACCAACAGTTCTGGGGAAAGTCACTGGTCCAGGTCCCATTTTAGAGCCATGGGAAAGCAGTTTATTAATCAGAGATAGGGGATGAGTAATTCCCTGACCTGGAACCTTCTCCAGCTTTGTTTCTTGGATGGGATGTTTTGCTGGTAATGCTACTCTGGGGGTAAAAAGGAGCTCCTGGGAATGGGTGGCCCTGGCTCATCCTTGTGTGTGGATAGCCTGTAGATCATGATAACTGGGAGAAATGTGGGTTAGTGACCACTGAAGGACCTTCTTGTGTGTTATTGGAGTTATTTGCTAATAATCCATGAACATTGTGGTGAGCTAATGGGGGAGCCCTCAGATTTGGAGACCAGTCCAGAGCTGGGTGAACCTCTGGCTTAATCCCCTCCTTCTGTTGCTTCTGTTGTGGTTGAGAAAGGAAGCAGCAACTTACTGGTATCTTTTTTTTTTTTTTTTTTTTTGCCATACTGAGGCTTCAACTCAGGGCCTACACCTTGAACAACTCCACCAGCCTTTTTTGTGATGGGGTTTTTTGCGATAGGGTCTCATGAACTGTTTCCCCAGGCTGGCTTTGAACCCTGATCCTTCCTGATCTCTGCCTCCTGAATAGTTAGGATTACAGGGGTGAGCCACTGGTGCCCAGCAACATTGGTATATTGAGGCTAGGGGAAGTGGTGTGGTCACCAGCCCCAGACTCACTTGTATCCTAGTGGGGGAGTCAGCCTATTGACTCAGGTGCTGGGGGACTGGGCAGTCACTGGCTCCAGTCCTCTTGTTTCCCAGGGAGAGGTAGCTGCTGACCCCAGGCTGACCACTGCCTCTGCCTCTGCCTGCAGATGGCCTGCACAGTGTGACAGCGCAGTGTGTGCTACGTGTGGTCATCATCACGGAGGAGTTGCTGGCCAACAGCTTGACTGTACGCCTGGAGAATATGTGGCAGGAGCGCTTCCTGTCACCACTGCTAGGCCACTTCCTTGAAGGTGTGGCGGCAGTGCTTGCCACGCCTGCTGAGGATGTCTTCATCTTCAACATCCAGAACGACACGGATGTGGGAGGCACCGTGCTGAACGTGAGCTTCTCAGCACTAGCACCTCGGGGGGCTGGGGCGGGCGCTGCAGGGCCCTGGTTCAGCTCCGAGGAGCTGCAGGAGCAACTGTATGTGAGCCGTGCTGCACTTGCGGCCCGCTCGCTGCTCGACGTATTACCCTTCGATGACAACGTGTGCCTGCGTGAGCCCTGTGAGAACTACATGAAATGTGTGTCAGTGCTTCGTTTTGATTCATCTGCGCCCTTCCTGGCCTCGGCCTCCACGCTTTTCCGACCCATCCAGCCCATCGCTGGCCTGCGCTGCCGCTGCCCTCCTGGCTTCACTGGTGATTTCTGCGAGACTGAGCTCGATCTCTGCTACTCAAACCCATGTCGGAATGGCGGCGCCTGTGCGCGGCGCGAGGGCGGGTACACTTGCGTCTGCCGCCCGCGCTTTACGGGTAAATCGAGGCACAGCCCCATGAATCTCTGGCAAAGCTTGGGGGCGGGGCTACAGGACTAGCGTGCTAGTGAGGACTGCGCACTTTTGAGGCAGCGGGGACGGGGGGG